GTGGAAATCTAGGCCCTCCAGGTCAGAGGCGCTGCAGTGATGTCAGTTGATGCCCTAAGCCACCTAAGCCATGACGTCTATGTGGCGCTTCCTCTGGAGGCTGCAGCAGCCGCAGGGGGGAGGGGGTTCACTTCTTTCTTCGCTCATCAGACCTTTTCTTAGTTTTGCATGTCTTCAATGAGGTGAGAGAGACTCAAGGACGGATCCATCGCATTCTGTAACTTCTCGCCTTCTATTTATGTAGTAGAGAGAAAATATATAATGCTGTAACAGGGAACGGCGGCAGAAAAAACTTCTTTTTCGGCAGAAAAACTTCTTTTAAGTGGTTTCTAATATCGAAAAAGTGGATCAATCGTGACTTTCACTGTAGTAAATTACTTCATCTAACACTGTGTGTAGTCATAATTTACATTTTTGTGATCTTTGATACTGAAAAATGGGTTTACATCGAAACCATTTTCATCACTTTTGATATTCCCCGGTCGATCCGACTGATACCGCAGTCTCTTGAATTTGAAACGGATACTTTGAGTTTCTCGAAAACTGTTCCCAAATTTTCGTTTATTTTTTTTCTCATGTAGACCAAATAACGCATATATATATTTAATGACAAAGCATCGATACTTTACAGTGATATTGACTGAAATAAAAAGATCTCTGAACTTATAAAATGTCACTTACCCCATTCTGGTTTTCACCCATTCACATAGGAACAAGGTTTATCAGCCTTTTCGTTACAAGGGCCCGGCAACAATGGTTTTTCTGTTGAAAATTCGCGTTTTATTTCCGCCGCGTTATGATACTTTCTCTGTATTACGTAGTCAATAGCGAGGAGGTAAAAACATTCTAGTAATGACAATCTTACTATATTTCAACAATATACCAAGTTAGAAGTGTTGTAGAGAATTACATCAATGCATGACATTCGTTATACAATTTTTGATTAATTGAAAAGGTATCAAAATGTAGGAAATTTATTATCTTTTTGAAACCATCAGGTGGAAGTAATTTGAAGATTAAAAGTATTCAGAGGAGAACTAGGGGATGAGTTTGATTGTGAAGCAAAGTATGAGGAATCACGTTCTGTCTTGTCGAACCATTTGGAGGGAGGTGGCTTTAAAATTTCACTTAATACCAGAGAAGCTCGCTGACATTTATATTGTTGTGTAGAAATTATATTTCAAAACAAATTTACTAAAGAATGACGATATTTAGAAAATTTGTTTTTTATTATTTGACTTTCGATGACTTATGGTTTCTCATCTGCGTTTTTTGTCGTTAAGGATTGTTCATTTTGATACAGTAATCCAATGAGGATTACCGAAGAGAAAGCAATTCAGTCGTGTCTGTCTTTTTGTGTGTAAAACATCATGTATCCAACTTCACGAGAATACTGTATCTACATTACAGACAGCTTCTCATCGCTCTTTGTGGTCCCGAGTGTCTGCTTGACCGGTTGCGCTGGGAGGCTGAACTTCATGTGAGAACTTCATGTGAGAAGCGCTCCGCACCTTCTGTGACAAATTCGTCTGTAAGTACCCATGAAGAAATTTTGAAACGTATTGCTAACGTTGCGGCGGCAATGATGTAACGGTTAGCGTATTGGACCGAAGTTGGCGGGTTCAAACCCGATCGAAGCCGCTGATTTTGAAGGGCGAAAAAATCCTACGTACGCCTTCCTTCGGAAGGGAAGTAAAGCCGGCAGTCCCATGTTAGTAGATTTACTTGCATGTAAAAGATCCTCAAGCCTAAATGACGCCTCTGAGCTAAATTCAAAATCACCCGTTTCTCGCCTAAGAAATACCTCCTTCCTCTGCAAGTTGGTGAAAGGAGCGTAGCGAAATTTGTGTGGTCAGACGGAAGAGCGGGCCTGATTGCCCGGGTCTCGCCACGTAAAATAAGGCCTAAATTCAATTCAATTCAACGTACTTCAAACTAACCTACACTGTATACAGGGTTAATTATCTGTTGGTACTTTGACCGATTCCAGAAGAATTTGTCTATATTGATTATTTCAATTTTTATTTTGACCTTATTTCCTCGCCTATTTGCCCTTCTGAGCATTTGCAGGGGCACCGCCTGCCCAGCGAGGGCCAAGCGCATTGGGGCGGTTCAGCGCGCCGCGGTGAGTGCGAGGAGCCCGGCTGCGACCCCTCCCTCCCCACCCCCACCCCGCCCCCGCGTGGGCCGCGCCATCTGGCCCTGGCAGCGCCCACCAGGAATTCGGCCTTCTTTTGTTTCCGCCGCGCCGCCCCCTCCGCACTTGTCTTAATGATAAGTGAGCGCCATCCGTCTCCCACCGACACCTTTGTAGCGCCGCCGCCGCCGCCGTCTGCGTGGGCCGCTGCCGCACGTGGCGCGAGGGGCGGCGGTTAGAAGCGCCTTCAGCCCCACAGGTCATTGCTACTATCTGCACCAACCACTCGCGTGTTTATTTGCGGTAAAAACAGCAATAATGTGAAGTTTTGGGGTGAGATTTGGTTTTACTTCTCACATGAAAACGTCAGGGATCATCTCGGAATATGGTTGTGGATCTCCGGAAACCAAAGAGACAATTGTAAGCCCTGTTTTTACAATCATGGTAGAAATACATGGGTGAGCTACTCCAGGACACCGATTTTTACACGTTCTCTGCAGCATTAGCCACGAAGGATGTCACTACAACACGGGCACGATGTTTGAAATGCCAGACCAGTCACCGGCCGCCATGTTGCACGGAGAGAAAGAGGTGTTGAGAAACATTTTGAAACTGGCCTAAAGTGGCAATTTTTAATTAAAAGTGACGCGATGACGGCGTAATTGAAATAAAAGTTGCAGTATTAAAAAAAGAGCTTCATATATCTGTTTCAATGTCTCTAAACAACGTGATTGTTATTGCGACGCAAACTAATGCCTCAATCTCATTGACTGAAGTCGAATAAGATGCGCAAGAGCCTGCTTACAATATTAGCGTCTAACGTGAATAATCGATTCTTGCAATGACAAATGCAGTTGATTCCTGATTTAAAACTCACAAACGTACATACAATTTACAAAACATTTAATGCATTTTTATGATTTTTAAAGGAATTACATGTTAAAACTAAGAATTATTTTTCATAAAAATTTTTTATAAATATTTTCATTGGCTTTTGTGAGTATACTTTTTTCCGCTCGAGAACTTCCCCCCCCCCCCAAAGACTGCGATGCGAACTGTCAAAGAGAGAATACAAAACGCGGTGCCACTCGCCCCTCAGCAGTCGCGGCGACGCCCTGAAGAAGGCGGGAAAAGAACTGTCGCACCACGACGGACGAGTTGTTGGCATTCGTGTCTCCCACATGGCAAAAACGTCAAAGGAGCACGAGAATTCGACGTAGCTATAGGTATTGTCAAAAATATAATTGGTCTCCAGAAATGTAAAATACTCATCACAGCACCAAAACATACTTGGTACATGAGACAATTATTGAACAATTTTTCTACAGCAGTCATTACTAAAATACTCATTGGAGTTTGCTTACAATGGTAGCCTATATATTGGAAGTTTGAGAGCAATTTTTCTTCAATTACTGCGAGGTGAGATAATTTTCAATGGAAAAATTGCAAATTTATGAGAGCAGAATATAGTAGAAGAAACATTTAGAATAAACCGGGAAGTTGGGGTTAAATAGGGAAATAACTTTTTAATATTGTTAATGTCATTAGATTTTTCCCTTTTCGCTTCCCAACAGTGCCATGTTGATGGTGGTAGTTTTTCAAGGCACTTCAGTGCGAACACATCCATGTTTAAGTTTCTGGAAAATATAAATATAAATTACTACTTTCCACAATGTTTGCATTACATCGTGCAAGAAAGTAAAATGTAAATGATCATTCTGTAGCAACGTATTTTTTGTCCAAAAGGTGAGGGGAGGGGATCATTGTCCACAGAGGGGGGCCAGCTAACCTAGTTTGGATATCTAGGGAGAGCAGTTTCCCTAGTTTGGATATCTCCATAAATTTTGTGACTAAAAGTAAGAATTTTTTGAATGAAAATTATCTGTGGACATGTCTACTCAATCTTTGTGTGAATATTCTGTACAATGTAATGTAATCTGTAGGGGTATTTTAATGAAATGTTATTTTTCACGATAGAGCAATGCCGTTTACTATAGATATTAACTTGATGTTATTACAAAAGGCAATGGCCCAATTTTATGACCTTTTCTCCAATTTTCGTCGATTTCTACTGATCAGTGATTTTTTTACCTTTTCCCGTCATTTTTAAAGCATATTTTCATTCATGTAATCAAGTATAATGTAATTTCAATGATCCTTCTTTCAAATATAATATTTTCGAGTTGTAACAAATGTTCTCGATAGAATTTCTGAGTTCGACTCTTCATTCAGAAATTGTAATGTCAGCCGTTATGAGAATGTAATCTCAGTTTCCTTTGGCACCTAACAGCACCATTGTCTGTTCGGCCGGTTTCGCCATAACTAAGGACTGAAATTTCTTAGTAAAAAGCAGTCCAAACCAAATGTTAGCAAGATAAGTTCACGTGAACGAAACGACGAACTCCCGAATATATCAGGTACATATCCAACAGCTTGAGTTATTCATCTGATCTGTTTTTGATAACTTTTTTACGTAATTTTTCATTGCTTTTAGGGCATTTTAAAAACATTTCAATAGCATTTTATTGTTGTTTTTTTTGGCGATGTTTTAAGCCATCAAAATCCTCCCCCTAGCGATCAGAAGGCGACATTTGTTTGATTGCATCGTGAAAAATTATAAAAAAATACGGAATGTGTGTGCGTGCGCGGGAGGGGACAGGACGGACCCTCGCGTACCTGCAGAGGCCCCGGCTGAGCGGTCGCTGCGCGGAGGTCTTGGCCAGCGGTCACCTGGCGCAAGAGGTGCTGCGGGCGGCGGGCGGTGGGCAGTGGGCGATGGGCAGTGGGCGGTGGGCGGGCCGAAGAGGCTCCGCCCGCCGCCCAAGATGGATGGGGCGAGAGCGGCCGTTCGCGCCGCCGACCAATGGCCGGCCGTGGCCCGCGGCGCCTGCCGCTCCCGCCCGCGCCCGCGCCCGCGCCCGCGCCCAAGCCGCCATCCGCCCTGGACCGCCGAGACAGCCCTGGCCCCGCGCCGGCCACTCCCACCCGCCTGCCTGCCCCACGCCCGTCCCAGGCGCACTCGCAGCCGTCGTACGTGCTGCTCGCGGAGGAACGCTTTTCAAAACGGTGTAATTTCTTATGAAAATCAAGCCTATGCAATTACGTTCTATTAGATTCCTTTAGATCTATATGAGACCTGCGGCATAGCGGGGAAATTATTATTCAGATGGATTAATGGCGTTCATTGCTAGTTCCTTTGATGAGATTCCAAAGTGCAATGAAGTGCTCGGAAAACGTTGAAAACTTCCAGAGGTCCCGCGGTTTCCATTTCTTTTGGATGAAGTCAGTCGTATATCGATAGAACAGTAAGTATTTTTCTTTGGAGTATTTGGGGCAGGAGGCCTCACTTACGATCGCGTTTATACAGAGTGTCAATTCATTGGTCTACTTCCTTGAAAGGACTATTAGATAGAGATATTTTGAAAAGAAAATTCCTCATCCATTTTTTTTAAAGAGAAACCGTCTTGATAATTAAATACTATTCTCTTACAGGCCAATCGCTATAATCGTCCATACTTTGAGTAAAAACATTTGCTACTAAGCTTCTAAAAGTGATCAACAATTAATTCACTTGAATTGTGAAAGACCTGTGAATCGTCCCAACACCACTGCGGTACTATAACCGTGAAGTTCAGCGCATGACGAAAGAACGCATCGGCTTAGAATATCTGCGCTAAGCATAGCGTCAACGTTTACATTGCACCTTGATAAAAAGCTCAGGAAATACCACGGTAATTGCACAAGAACTTTGTTCTATTACATATTTACGAAAGTGTAATTCGTAGTGGCGTATGCCTTCGCTGGTCCAAGGCATTTTGCCCTTCTGAATTTAAGTTTACGTTTTTGTTCTGGAATTTGATAAATATTAGAACACTAGTAAATTTATAAATGTTTAAGCCGACCTGTTTGGGCGAGGTGGCTAAGAGCGTGTGCCGTCTCAGAGCTTTGGTCCGAAGGGTTCGAAACCCGCCTTGAGTATGCTTGTTGGTCTCTTGTCTCTCATGAATATGTTGTCACGGAGGGCCTTGCGTTCTGCTGACCCCAGTTTAGAGGAGCTCTCAAGTGTGTTGGTGTCTAGTGTATTGTGGAATAGCGGTCCCATCGAGACGTAAAGCGTAATCGGCTGTCGCTGGAAGAAACAAAATTGTGTTGGTAAAGGCAAAATTCAGAACATACATTTAAACGTACATTCCAAATTCAAAAAAGCTATGACACAGCAAAGAAAGCAGTATATTAAATATTGTTAAGCTGTGTTGACGATGAATGAAATAAAAATAGAGGTAACAATTAATAAAATTGTTCTTCTTTTATTATTACAAAAACCTGTGACTTTTATGTATTAAATTACCGATTCTGTTACAGTACAGCAGTGTTATTTTATTATTCTTTACAACAGGTGTTCGAAATTACCACCTGAACAACCTCCGCACCTCTACACGCGCCGCAAGAGCCCTCGATGCGTATACGCAACAGCATGTTGCGTATACGTTGGTACTTCGAACGATGTCCGATGCGTGAACTATTCTCACCCATATCTCATCTGCTGTTTCCACTAGAGTTGCGTACACAATGATTTTCAAGTGTCCCCAGGAGAAAACGTCTAAAAGGTTGAGGTCTTGTGAAAGCGGTGGCCACGCCACAAGCCCCCCTCGACCTATCCCCCTGACCATATTGTTTACTTAGATGGTTGCGTACGGCACTCTACAAAAGAGCCGTCACCGTGGCATGCATGCAACATATGCGCACGCGTGGCAAGTTTTACAAGTTTAATAAACCAGGAAGGCCTTCTTGTAGAAAGCGCAAGTTCGTCCTTCCAAAGAATCAGTCTGGAAAAACATGTGCCCAAAGGTGATCTCCAACGATGCCAGCCCAAACATTTGCAGAAAACTTCTGCTAATGTCGGATTTCCCTCGTTGCGTGTAGATTTTCAGTTGACCACGTGTGTAGGTTGTGTAAATTCACAATACCCACACGTGAAAATGTGCTTCATCACAAAGCCCCTAACGATGCATTACCTGCGTTCTGCTAAAGAAGCCACTCACAGGAAGCTACTCGAACATATCCTCTCCCCGCATCTCCAGGATCCTCTGGAAATGGTACGGTTTATATCCTTCATCTTTTAGAACAAGCCATGCGCGCTGAGGATACATCCTTGTACAGCGTCCCCCTTGTCGTGTATCAGCAGTGTGCACCGTGCCGTGTACTTAATTAATTAAACGAGATCATTAATTTGCTTCGTAAAAAAAGTAAAGTTATTAATTCTGCAATCCCTCTCTTTTCATTAAATTTTATGGTTTTATAAATGAGACACTGATTTTTTGGACATAATGAGAAACGATAGTCTTTGATTTTGAGAGACCAAGAGGGTGATCAGCTTAATAACGTTTCTTCAGAAGGACTAATTTTTAATTCAGAGTTTATGCACTTACTACTAATGACTATAAGTAAATATGGATTTAAATGCTATTTCTGCGTTTCAAGCCCAACAACATAAATAAGAAACAGAACTCAGTCACATTTCTGGATAGTTTGATCATAAGAGGCATGAGGTACATTTCCGAAAAGTTTTAACGCTTACGAACCGTCTAGAGTGGCAGCGCTCTGAAGGGTCAGTTTCATGTATCAGAGAAAGTGAATCCGTTCATTGCGGTAAGTGACCTAAGTTTGAAAAGTTCATATTTACTAGTACTCTGCATATGTTGTACAATGTCTTAACGTAATGATAATATCACATGTGAAATATGTAGAAAATGAGAAGGACTTTTTCCAGCTAAGAAACTTCAAATTAATTTTTGAGAAGAAAATGTAAATATTTTTGTACTTTTTTGAAAATGTATTTATTTTTAAATGTAAACAGTTTTGCAAGTTCGTGTAGTATTATAATCTTACATAATCTTTAAAAATAATGAGAGAAAATGTGCTGTTGTAGACCACTTTTTTATTTAAGCATGATCTTGCAGCATTTCTTTGTACAACCAAACTTCGGATATCTAAAAAGCAAAATGGTTGACATTTTCTGCTCCTGCGCGTGGTGTTGTTCAAATAACACTAATGGTACTTCCATAGCACGTACTATCTCTCCTTATTTCAAAGTTTTGCAATTTTCGAAAATTCAGAAATTTCAACAAAAATTAGACTTAATTAGACTAAAATTAGACTTTGTGTTTACACGCAAAATTTGTTCTATCAGAGAAAAAATAAAGAAAAAGTTTAAGCCAATTTTGAGAAAATATTATTTTTAAAATTGCCTTTATTTTACGTATTTTTTGCAAATACTACTCTTATTTTGAAGAAAGTAAGCATAATGCCATTTAAATATCTCTTATGAAAAAACAATATCATTAAATCTTAATTTTAAGTTCCATCGCAGAAGGATGACACCAAAAACTAATTCATTTTTTTAATTCAGAAAATTCAGCGCAAATTGGATTTTTACCATTGGTTAAGTGCCTTTTGTTCTATCCGAGAGAAAAAATAAACCAAACATTTCGAGGCAATATTGAGAACATTTTGAAAATAATGTTGAAGCTGTATTTGATATATTTCCAACAATAAAAGAAATTGCAGGTCCTCGAATTCGTATAGTTGCAATGATTGGAATAATCCAATTGCAGTATTTTCTTAGAAGCGTAACTAAAGACATAATAGCTAATTATTGTCGACTTCCATTTACTCTGCAACTGTCAGAAAAAGAAAGACCTGAACAGAATAGAACTAACGAACTAACAGCATAGAATGTTTTATGAAGATGCCGAAAGAAGTAATTTTGGAGAAAAACTTTCAGTTCAGTGTAATGTTATTCACCATTGCAATGTTTCCTTGTTTATGTGATTTTAATCATTTTATAAAGAAACGTATGTGTCAATATTATTAAGTTACCCAAATAAAAACCTCTATTACCGTATCCGTTAATAACTTTGAACTGTGGACGGATAAAATTTCAATACTTTATATGTATTTAGCTAATTAACTGTTCACGTAAGGTATTGTTACTTAATATTATTAACCTAAAAGTGTTTCATCTGCAACAGAAAAAAATATAGAAAATTACGCTTCATATTTTTAGTGAAATAAATAGATAGCCCTTTTCCTCAATGGTATGAAAATGACACATCCTTTCTGAGTTTGTTTTCAGTTATAAAACAAGTATTCAGCCTTGAATTTCATATATCTGAATATTCTTATGCTACTGTTTTGCTTTCATTTATTTTGACATAATATATTAAAAATATTGATATCACTCTGTGCTGGTTCGCAATATTGTCATATTTCATTCAAGATGATGTACATGAACATTATTTTAAGCAGTTTTTCAACGTGCAGTGCTTTTTTTCTCATTGTAATGCAATGCTTCTTGAAGGTTTTCGAAATGATTTGATCTTCTTTTGATTTTGGAGTGGTCTGCATTGACACTATTTATTTCAAAAAAGTGCTTGGGAGGAAAATTGAAGAATTATTAATGACCTATTGTTCTTTTTCTTTTCCTCTTTCTCCACCTCCTTCTTCTTCCTCTTCTTTTTCTTCTTTTTCATTATCATCATCATCATCATCATTGGAGTGTATAATGCCTCAACAAAGACAATTTTTATTTTATTTAGAAAAAGCTTTAAACGAAGTGGAATTTGATAGGGACTCTAAAGCAAAATTTGAAACATAACATTACAGCAAAAAGTTGTTCCTAAGTGCTATCATTTCCATCTCTGTGTTGTTTACAGCAGTCGTGCGGGCAACCGGCTCAGTAACTTCCCGGTAGCAAGCGTTCCCCGTCCCCGGGTGCAGCGAACCATTGTCAAAGTAGACATGCAGCACCTCATAACGATAACGCAAGAAAACATTCCACCGGGGGCAAGAGGAACTCAGCCAGTAAAAAAGCAATCATCGGCAGCCGAATCTCCCTGCCGCCGGTAGCCGATGGCCCGTGCCGCCCCCCGGCGTACCATGGTGCAAGCCAATGTATTACACGTCGCACGATAACGTAGGAATATAATTTTAGCGTCAGAAAAAGAGGAGCGCGGCGCGGGCGCGGGGAGGCGGCAGTGGCCGGAAATTCCTGGACGGGGTGGGGGAGGGGGAGGGGGACGGCGGCGAGAGAGGGCCAAACGGCCGCGCGCGATCTCCAATCAAGAGAGCAATTAATTAATCGCCTTCTTATTTGAAATTGCGGCGGCGGCGGCGCGCGCGTGTCTGGGCTGCCGGGCGCGCGATAAGCGCTCTCCGCTGCGCGCACCAGCGCACCAGCAGGCGCCGCCGCCGCGGAGGGGCTTCTGGACGGGCCACACGTGCTGGAATGACCAAACCGCTCAGCTGCCTCCTCTGTCTTCCGGGGTGCAAATCCCGGCCGAAACATGTGAAATTTCTGCTGGACAAAGAAGGCTCTTCCATTCTTCCCCTCATACTCATCCCACCATTGTTTCATCATTCATTTTTGTTAGTATTCATCACATTTAGAGTTAGTTACCCATCCTTGAAATCCCATCATTTCAGGTATAGTCGTTAAGCTTAAGACCGAGTCTAACCCGTCTAAACCGAGTGCCATTCTTCTCTAAGGGAGTCCTAACCGTCTCTCCTTTAATATAACGTTACAGGGGGAGTGGGTGTCCGAGAAGTAAGCAAAGAGGCGAGGATGTGGACAATCTTTTGTGACGATGTTTCATTTCAGGTGCTGAGGAGGCGACAGATTGGGAGGAAAATACTTAGCGTCCGCGCCTGGAAATAAGTAAGATAAATTTGAATAAGGTAGATTTGAATGTACTCGTCTTCTGACAGCAGGTTTTCTCCCTTTCAGGGTTATTTTTTCCTTCATAATGTCTCTAATCGGCGGCTTTGAAGCAATGGAAAGACCATATGCGACGAATTTCAGTATTTGAAAGGTTAAAATTCTTTTGGATGTAGGTTTTTTAATGGCTTAAAGGGCTTCAGCCTAGCCACAATTTATGTTACTTATATGTGCAATAATTACCTATTAAATGTCATAAAATAATAAATATTTACTCTTGTAGGGGTTTCCAAAGCGAGGGTTCTTTCTCCTCTAAATGACTTAAGTTGCTCAAGATATCAATTGATGTCACGGCAGTACCTCTAACCGGGATGTCCTAGGGTCGAGACGCGACGGAGACAGAATTTTCGTCACTAGCTATTCAGCGAGATCAAATTCAGCCGCGGTCTCGAGGAGTATTCTAGCGACCGGGTATTGTGAACGGTAGTTTTTCGTGGTTTCTCTAATGAACACCAGGCAAATGCGGAAGTAGTACCCTAACAAACGGGCCACGGACCGTTCACGATATTTCCTTCCTCTTTCTTGTTCTATCCTCATTCATTACTTTCGCTCACTTACACTAGCGTGCACTATACTATACTACTACATGAACCGGGAGATCGGTCGGAAGCCTAGAACTTGTCTAAGCTGTGGCGGTGTCCAGCTGGTGGGAGATACCTAGTTGGGGAAGACTTCGCTTGCTGACGGTAGGTCGGTGCCGGATCTCACCATCCAACTCAGTTGAGAGAAATCACCCAAAATC